TGTGTGTGTGTGTGTGTGTGTGTCTTGGCAACAAGAAATTAATAAGCCTCATCAAATTGGTTTTACTGCCCTATTATAATCGCATCCTGCAGTCATTTGTGTCAGCTATAGTAACTTCATAGAAGAGAAGCGGAACTAAATTCCTCCCATTAGTGTTTCATTGAGAGTTCTTTTTCTGTGGCTGAACACTTTTGGCTGACCTTTTTAATGTCCACAGAAAAATTTGGTCATATCGGCAACAGCAGAGCAAGTTATGCACATAGAGCTGAATGATTCAACTTTTGCTTAAACATTAGCTGATGAAATTAGTAAGGGTTTAGATTAGAGACAGGCACAAAGGACCTCTTAAAATTATCCACCCTATTGCTAGGTGGTGAAATGGAGCAGGAACCCACCAAATATCTCCAGGGGGAGGAAAAATTATCCAAGAACTTATCACGGGTGGTGCTTGCCATTGGCAGCGATTGTAGCACAGTTCCTTTCCTTTCCTTTCCTTTCCTTTCCTTTCCTTTCCTTTCCTTTCCTTTCCTTTCCTTTCCTTTCCTTTCCTTTCCCAGAGTGGCAACAGTATTGGCTCTCTTGCCAGCCTGGCAGCCACTTGTTGTGAACAGCCCTGTGATCTTCAGATGAAGGGTGGCATACAAATTAAAGAAATAATAATAATAATAGTTTTGAATCCCACATGATGCCCTGGACCTAACGATCTTCCAAAGCACCGTGGGAAGAAAATGACAGCCTTACATGCATGCCCTGTCAACAGCTGTATGTAAAGCTACACATAAGAATATAGGAAACTGCCTTTTTTTGACTCAGGTCATTGGTCCATCTTGCTAAGCATTGTCTGCAATGTCTGGCAGTGACTTTCCAGGATACCAGGCAGGGTTCTCCATTCCAGGGTTCTCCAACCAGAAAACATTCTTGCGCAAAGCAGGTGCTGTACCTCTTTGACACAACACTTTATAGGTCAGGGAAACATATCCTATTCCACTATGAAATCACCAAAAATGCCCTTCTCCACTTCTTTCTAATAGACCCATGAAATAATGGGGGAAGGGTTTTCCACTCAGTGCTAGAATTGGTCAAGCTCCCTGTCTTCCTAATGCTACATCATAGGATGTGATGTGGAAGAAGAGGCAAACTCCTCCACTGATTTTTCTCAGAGGAGGTTTGACCAATAAGAAAACTGTCCCGCTAAATTTCTAGGACTATCTAGAAGAAGAGACAAAAAATTACTAATGAGTAGGCAGCCCTCCTTTGGTCAGGAAGAATAAACAGGATGCTTTGATTTGAGAACAGGGGTAGATTTGTGAAGAGGATAAGTGATATTGAAGGGCACGGGCAGGAAATGGAGTTTTCTTTTTTCTTTCTTTCTTTTTTTTAAAAAAAGGCGAACTTGATGTTCTGCAAGATGGAGAGAAAAGACTGAAAGAGCCATTGCCATAGGCTGCTTGCCAAAGGGCTATTTCAATGTCATTGCACAGGAAAAAAATAAATAAGACACCAGTCGTGACTGATTAAAGTTTAATTGACTTCTGCTTGCCTCGGCTCCGTTAAATCCCACAATAGCCATTAAGCATTGCTGGAAGCCAATAGAAAGGACTTGCCCCTAACGGGTTTATTTGTTATTCCTAGATTTTTCAAAGCAGCTCCCATTTAAGCATGCAGCACTTAAACTTTCACAAAAGAGGATTCACCATTGCAGCTCAGCCAAAGCCTGATCACTGGCTAATTCGAGGAAAGCTGCTGGCTTGCACTTCGGAGCTATGCCCACTGCTTCGGATCACAATTAGCAATCTTATACCAGGTCAGGACACTGGCCTATCTACCTCGGTGTTGTCTGCTCTGAATGACAGAGGGTCTCCACCAAACAGTTCACCATTCTTAAAGCGGCTTTGGGAGTCACTTTAAGAATGGTGACCTCCAGAGCTATGCAAAGCACAATGCACTCCTCCTCTTCCTGAGATTACCACCCCACCCCACCCCCGCTAGTTTCACTCCACAAAATTTCACCAAAATGAACTGGCCTTTCTTTATGGAGGCATGAAAAAGCACTCCTCCCATTTCAGCTCAGTCCTAAAGTTGTAGTGCACAAAGAGTGCTTTCCAAAAACAGTTCACAAAGACCTCCCATATCAAAGAAAATCACACAAAGCAACATTAATGGGGTGACAGAGACCTGGCTGGAGGAAGCAGATGGGCCTGTCCTTGCCACTGCTTGCCCACCAGGTTTCTCTTACGCACAGTAACCCAGGTCATGTGGGCGGGGGGGGGGGGGTTTGCAGTGATTTTTAGGAAGTCATTAGCTTGCATCAGGCGTCCTACTGGAAAGACCCAGTTTTCTGAGTGCATGTTCTAGAACTTGGACAATAGGGATTCCTTTTGGTGTACCGACCTCCCCGCTGCACCAAGGATTCCTTGTCCGAGCTGCTTCAGGTCGTGGCGGATGTTCTCCTGGAGACACCTAGTTTGGTTGTCCTAGGGGATTTTAACATCCATGCCGACACGACCTTACAAGGGGCCGCTCGGGACTTCGTGGAAAGCATGGCCTCCATGGGGCTGTCCCAAAATAAGTTTGGCCTTAGACCTGGTGTTCACCTCTAGTGACGTGGGTGATCTGACACTAAGTAAAAGTGAAACAAAAGAACTGCCCTGGTCAGATCACTTCCTGGTGCAACTGGACTTCTCTGCGACCCTTCCCCTCTGCAGGGAGGTGGGACCAATTCGGATGGTCTGCCCCCACCACTTAATGGATCCAAATGGTTTCCAGAGAGTGGTAGGGGATGCTTTATCCCATGTTGATGGCCTTTCAGCTGATTCCCTGGTGGCCCGCTGGAATGCGGAGTTAACCAGGGCTATCGACTGTCTGGCTCCGAAGCGCCCTCTCCGATTGCATGGAGCCCGGACAGCCCCGTGGTTTTCTTCGGAGCTGAGGGCAATGAAACAATTGCTGAGACGGCTAGAGCGTTGGTGGCAGAAAACTCATTCCGAATCTGACCAGACACAGGTTAGAGCTCAACATTGAGCCTACCAAGTGGCGATAGCGACGGCGAAGAAGACTATCTTCACCGCCTTTATTGCATCTGCAGAAAATAGTAGCAGGAGACTCTTTCAGGTGGTCCGCAATTTAACGGAACCACCTTTACCACTGGGGCCTTGTAAAGACCCCAAGATCTCCTGCAACGATTTTGCAAAGTTTTTTGCAGATAAAATCACTCAGATTCGGAAGGAGCTAGAGACACCGTGGGAGCAGGGCTGGGGCGGGAGAGTGCTAGAGCTCTGTCTGGTCAAGTTGCATGGAATCAATTTCAATCCGTTACCCCCGAGGATGTGGACAGGCTGCTTGGACGCGTGAAACCAACCACCTGTCTCCTTGATCCTTGCCCATCCTGGCTAATAAAAGCAAGCCGGGAAGGGCTGGGCGATGGGCTCTGCGGGGTGGTGAATGCTTCCCTCTGTGAGGGAACATTCCCAGATCCGCTGAAAGAGGCGGTCATTAAACCGCTTCTTAAAAAAACATCTTTAGACCCAGCCAGTATGGCCAACTATCGCCCAGTCTCAAATCTTCCATTCTTGGGCAAGGTGATTGAGCGAGTGGTTGCTGAACAACTCCAGGCACGCCTGGAGGATGCGGACCATTTGGATCCCTTCCAATCGGGATTCAGGCCTCATCATGGGACTGAAACTGCCTTGGTCGTGCTAGTTGATGATCTCCGGTGAGCTAGGGACAAAGGTGAGAGCTGTTTCCTAGTTCTGCTGGATCTCTCAGCGGCCTTTGATACAATCGACCATAACATCCTTCTGGACCGTCTAAAGGGGCTGGGAGCTGGGGGCACTGTTATATGGTGGTTTCACTCCTTCCTCCTGGGCCATGTTCAGAAAGTGGTGGGGGGGATGAGTGTTCAGACCCCTGGGCCCTCACTTGTGGGGTACCTCAGGGTTCCGTCCTCTCCCCCATGCTTTTTAACATCTATATGAAGCCGCTGGGAAAGATCATCAGGGGGTTTGTACTGGGTGTCCATCAATATGCAGATGATACCCAGCTCTACCTCTCTTTCAAATCAGAACCAGTGAAGGCGGTGAAGGTCCTGTGTGAGTGCCTGGAGGCGGTTGGAGGATGGATGGTGGCTAAGGGATTGAGGTTGAATCCTGACAAGACAGAAGTACTGTTTTTGGGGGACAGGGGGCGGGCTGGTGTAGAGGACTCCCTGGTCCTGAATGGGGTAACTGTGCCCCTGAAGGACCAGGTGCGCAGCCTGGGAGTCATTTTGGACTCACAGCTGTCCATGGAGGCACAGGTCAATTCTGTATCCAGGGCAGCTGTCTACCACTCTACCTGGTACGCAGACTGAGACCCTACCTGCCCGTGGACTGTCTCGCCAGAGTGGTGCATGCTCTAGTTATCTCACGCTTGGACTACTGCAATGCGCTCTACGTGGGGCTACCTTTGAAGGTGACTCGGAAACTACGACTAATCCAGAATGCGGCAGCTAGACTGGTGACTGGGGGCAGCCGCCGAGACCACATAACACCGGTCTTGAAAGACCTACATTGGCTCCCAGTACGTTTCCGAGCACAATTCAAAGTGCTGGTGTTGACCTTTAAAGCCCTAAATGGCCTCAGCCCAGTATACCTGAAGGAGCGTCTCCACCCCCATCATTCTGCCCGGATGCTGAGGTCCAGCGCCGAGGGCCTTCTGGCGGTTCCCTCATTGCAAGAAGCAAAGCTACAGGGAACCAGGCAGAGGGCCTTCTCGGTAGTGGCGCCCGCCCTATGGAACGCCCTCCCATCAGATGTCAAAGCGATAAACAACTACCTGACATTCAGCAGACATCTGAAGGCAGCCCTGTTCAGGGAAGTTTTTAATGTGTGATGTTTTAGTGTAATTTTGGTTTCTGTGGAAGCCGCCCAGAGTGGCTGGAGAAACCCAGCCAGATGGGCGGGTACAAATAATAAATAATAATAATAATTATTATTATTATTATTATTATTATTATTACACATGCTGGGGTAGCACTGTTGGTAGAGTATGAGACTCTTAATCTCAGGGCCATGCGTTCAATCCCTGCATTGGGCAAAAGATTCCTGCATTGCAGGGGGTTGGAATAGATTACCCTCATGGTGACTTCTGACTCTACAATTCTATGATTCTGTGATTTGGTTACATCTCCCACAAAAATACAATCCAAAACACACAAATAAACACTCACTAAAGGACGCAGGTGGTGCTGTGGGTTAAACCACAGAGCCTAGCACTTGCCGATCGGAAGGTCAGCGGTTTGAATCCCCGCAACGGGGTGAGCTCCCGGTGTTCAGTCCCTGCTCCTGCCTACCTAGCAATTCAAAAGCACGTCAAAGTGCAAGTAGATAAATAGGTACCACTCCAGCGGGAAGGTAAACGGCGTTTCCGTGTTTCTCTGGTTCGCCAGAAGTGGCTTAGTCATGCTGGCCACATGACCCGGAAGCTGTATGCCGGCTCCCTCAGCCAATAAAGCAAGATGAGTGCCGCAACCCCAGAGTTGTCCGCAACGAGACCTAACGGTCAGGGGTCCCTTTACCTTTACCTTTTAAAGCCATGAGGGAACCAATGCTGAAGTTATCAACCAGTCAAGCATAAAGAAAAGAACGAAATAATTCAGTCAGCCTATAATATCACTTGATAAAGCCACATGAGTTGATGTAGGAAGCTAAGCATGCTCTTTGACCAAAACGTATTTTAAAAAACAGTGGACAAAGAGTGTTCAACAATTGTTTGGGGGCAAAATAAATGCCCAGTCATATAACACAATGAGGCACAGGTGAATTCCCCAGGACTCTGGGTGCTCGGGTTTCCACATTTTTATTTTTATTTTTGCTGTGGGTGTCTGCGGTTGCACAGCCTCTGCCCCCAGCTCTGCATACCTCACCGCAATAGCAGCTGCCACAGCCCCTTCCCACTGCCCTTGCCCTGATGCTCACCTCTGAAGCCTTGCTTCGCCTCTGATGCTCTGGTGCTGTGGTGGCGACTGGACCAGGGGCTGGGTCTCCTCCACAAGGCCCCACGGTGGAGGCACAGGCCCCGGTCGCTGCTGCAGTGCTGGCGCACGCGCACCACGGCGTAAAGACATGACATCACGATGTCACACGATGTCGTCACATCATGTTGTGATGCCATCACATTGCAGTGCAATGTGCGTGTGCTGGGCACCCACAATGTGGGGCCCAAGTCAGCACCCCTGCAATGAGAGGGGCTTGGGCAAGTCTCTTTCTGTCTCTCTCTCTGAAGGTCAAATGGGATAACCTGTCAGGACCCAGTGGGGCCAGGCTCCAGGACATCAATGTTTGTTGCACTTCCTGACTCCTACACTCTTATTAGGTGTGTGTCAGAGTGCTGTCAGCGGCTCCCTGCTGGTTGCCCAGGAAAGTATAAAGACAAGGAAAAGTTTCTTACCATTATTTTTAATTTAAAACTTTACAGAGAGAGGCTATAGAACCCAGTCTCTTGGAGAATGGCGTTGTCCTGAGTGAATCTCCACTCCCCCATCTCTACTTCCTCATTCATCATCATCTCCTCTACAGCTGCCTCTAAGTGCCCTATGTCTTTGAGCTCTTTGCTCTCCTACTTTTAAGGCTTGCCAGGTTCTGGGAGATGGTGCATCTGGAATGCTTTCTAGTGACAACGTGTCAGCCAGCTGCTGCTCCAGCTCTGCCTGCTCCTCCTCTCCCATTATTTCCCAACGTTTCCCCTCTTCTGCCTCTGAGCTGTGACTTCCCACAAACCACTGTTTTAAATCTATACAGTCGTACCTCGGGTTACAGATGCTTCAGGTTGCGTTTTTTCGGGTTACGGACTGCCAAAACCTGGAAGTATCAGAACGGGTTACTTCCAGGTTTCAGCGGTCACACATGCGCAGAAGCGCTAAATTGTGCTTTGTGCACGTGCAGACGTGCCGAATTGCAACCCACGTATGCGCAGATGCACCACTGCAGGTTGCGAACGCTGTGGGTTGTGAACGTGCATCCTGCACAGATCACATTCACAACCTGAGCGTCCACTGTACTGTCTTCCTCCTCCCTGGAAGGGTCAAGATGGGGAGGCAGTCTCCACCACTTCTCCTCCCCTGCCCAGCCCTTGAAATCACCCTATCTCCAGTGTCTTCCTCCTCTGCCCAGTCCCTGACAGTGTGTCTGTACCAGGCCTGTGCAGAGTTTGTCTGAGGCTTGGGATGGGAGTTTTGTTAGAATAAAGTTATAAACTCAAACAGAAAAGCAGCCAGTCCCTAGCAGGGCCCCCTAGCCAGCTTAGCCCTCTGAGGACCAGTGCAAGTGTACCCGGCTGCCTCTTCCCTCTGCACCACATCCAACAGGGGTAGACTACATGGCTCTAACATGAAAAGGGGGCATACAAATAAACTCATGATGGTGACGATGGACATGGTCCATGTTGCTTGATTTCCATCATCCTTGACCATTGGCGATTTTGGCTGATGGAAGTTCAGCAACATCTACTGGGCACCACTTTGGCTATCCCTGACACACACACACACGTTTCTTTTTAAGGGAGAAACGTATCTTTCCTGCCTACCACTAATCCTTGCCTGATTCCGCTGGGCAAAACTGCTTGGATAATAAAAGCACAAGCATCCTTTCCACAACATCCTGAAGGTCAAGTGACTCAGGATTCAAAAATCCTGCTCTGAAAGTTGAACTAAAGCTTTCTGGCAGGTCGTCATGATGTGGAAACAATTCTGTTTAATACTTCATTGAAGTAGCGGGGCACTGCCGTATTACCCCTGGCAAAGGTCTTCCATATTGGCGGAGTCGAAAGGGAGGGAAGCAGCCTACCACTTTCTCTAGGTAGGCAGAGCTTAAGTAACAGGGCCTGACTGAAGTGTTATGGAGCCGAGAGAGAAGCTAGCGATAGGTCCAAAAAACAAGTCTCTTGCACAACAGCCACTGGGGGGTGGCTGTGGGGAGATAGTAACCTGACGCAAATGAGGGCCTGAGCCAATTTTAGCTGCCCCCTGGAGGTTTGACATCATCTTCATGGCATTCATTGAAAACTTGTCCATGGTTTCAGTCAAAAAGAAACGTATTTACAGAAGTGTGTGTGACAGAGGCCTAGTCCTTAATATTACATCAGTTATTGATTTAGATTAGGGGTGAGGAATCTCAGACATCTGAATCTGGTGCTCAGGACTTTCCCCAGGCCACCCCCCTCCTCAGCCACCCCACTCAAAAACCCTCCTTCACACCCTCCCTGAGTGTTTTTGCCTCACAGCAAAGTGTCTTTAAACACTGCTTATGGCCCTTGGTTGCCTGGATGGAGGATGGGGTGATGTGTAAAAACTAGTACAAAATTGAAAATGTACATTCATTGTTCCACCCACTTTGCCTCTGGCCTTGCCTGACACTGGCATGGTTGCCCAGACTAGAAGACTGCCCAATGGAAATGTTGCCCTCAATCTGGAAAAAGGTTCATTATCCCTGTTTTATATCATGGCATGTGTCTGGGCTGGGTGATGGGCAACAGACTGGAGCAGGTCAGGAGCCAGGAGACAATAATCAAGGTTAAAGGAGCCGTCAGGATTAGGGTGCAAGACCAAGAATACTAGACATGCCACAGCTCAAGTAGAACTTGTTTGCTCACCATGGAGACAAGAAGCCCTTTTATACTCCCTTCCTGCCCAAAATGATCAAATTTCCAGCTTCATGGGTAAAGCCAGGCTTCACCAGAGCCGGGAAGGACCCTCAATAAGAAGCTATAGTTGTGCACTTCACTTCACAAAGGGCAGTAGTCAGTAGACAATGACCCAGTTATGCACTTTGGATTTCTAAGGCATTTACAGCAGGGGTGAGAAACCTTTTTGCCCCAGCAGACCAGATCTCCATGCTCACTCCAGGAGCAAACTTGGACAAATGGGTAGAATTACCCACCTGTCAACCATCTGATGGCTTCATGCTGCTGGGTGACTGACAGGTGGGTGGTCTTGCCTTCAGGCATGTGGGGAAATAGTGACCAAACAGGCTTAAAGTCCCCGTGTGTCAGTGAATTATATTCAGGAAAACTATTCTGCAACTATGTGTACATTAGACAAAATTGTATACAAAAATGTGTGTACTAGAGAAGATTCGCACTAAGATGCTAATGAATTTTCACAAGTTGTGGTGTGTGTTTTTAAAGGACACTGATGTAGAAAACTGAACTTAACATTGGGAAAATGAGAACTGAGAGAATCTGCAATTGAGAGAGAAAGGAAGGGAGAAGATTGAGTTGTATAATGGCATGGTACAATAGTTGGGGTGGACAAAGGTAGGCCACTTGTGAATGGCCTGAATTTTCTTATTGTGCACTGCTGTGCGGACAAAAACCTAGCCAAGCAATGCACATTTAAGGGACGGTGAAAATCATTGCAAAGAGCTTATGCAGCAAGTCAGCAAAAATGGCTCTCTGTGAATGTGGTGGAGGGGAAGGGGGGGCAGAAAAGAGGTCAGATACAGTCTGGGTCAGAGCTGGTGGTGTTGCGGCTTTTCAATTTGGTTTTAAATGACCTAAAGAAAGACTGTCTTTGTAGAGAGTGGGAAAATGCTGACACCATGAAAGGGCAGGTGTCATGAATACAAAGGAGATTGCACACTGGAGTCTAGATTGCTGAAGGAGGTAGATTATGTGGCATCGGCTGCTATTTCAATAATATCCAAAACCTAAAATAGAGAGGCTAAAGTACCCCAATCTACTACAGTTTAATAGCTCTTTGGCCAAGGCTGAAACTATACACAAGGATGCTGGCACAAATGGAATCCTTCAGTCGAGAGACAATGGAGTGAGCCCCCTGGGGTGAAGTAAAACTGCTGCATTTGCAGCACCAAAGTGCAAGCTTGGGCAGCATGTATGGAGATCATTGGCAGCCCAGATAATGACCCCCCTCTTGGCCTTGCTGATGTAGTCCAAAGGAAAGCAGAGCAAGATGTTTGGCACCAGCTTGGCTGCAGGAGTTGCCGGATAATAGCATACAAGGTGCCATCCAACTGCCTTAGGGACTCCACTCCGGATTTGTGTAGATATCCCACAAGACAACGGAGGTTTAGGATAAGAGA